CCCCGCAGGCCAGCGCCTTCACAGAAAGGAAACCTCCGCCGATGGGCTTGACAGGGCCTTCAGACACTCCAGCAGACAAGTTCAGACCCAGTCCTCTAATTTAAATTTTTATTCTGTATGTGACTCCACTAACTTTCATTAACCTCCCACGGAGTACAGTTGTATTAACTACTTGTGAAGCTGTAAGCAATCAATCCCAAACAGTTAATTGCCACAATAAATGTATTTTTGATTGTTGCAATAAATAATTGCTCCCAGAGAGAGGTGTAGAACGAGTTTCCTTAGAGAGGTGAAACAGCAATATTTGTGATCATGTTATTTAGGGATAATACCCAAAATTTGGAAAACCTGACTGCATGCAAGTGAAGCTCTCTGGTTAAACACAAAAAAACCCTGAATACAAATTAGTGTGAAATGTGAAAAACAACAGAATGTTTGTACAAGAAGCAGAGCAACAGGGCCCTAATACTCCCTTCAGCATTGGGGTAGTACCACACTGTAAGCAACAAACAATAACAAGAATTTAGCTGCACGGGAAAACTGGAAACCTCAGAGGCCAATCCCATTCAGCTTTTATCTATCTATCTAAAGAGCTGTATGCATACTAGGAAACCTGATCAGTCATAATTGTTCATATAGGCAATTTTGAATGTGCAGAATAATCAAGAGAAAAACCAAAGCATCAGTGTGGATAACTTGATTGCTGCAGAAAATAAAATGGAAGGACAGAAGGAGGAAGGGAAGAAAGGATGGAAGTAAACCATCACACCCTGTCTTATTCTGGAATAGTTTGTGCACTTTCGTTCTTATTCTCCACAGACTTAAAAGTGTGTTTAGTTGCAAACTTATGGTAAGTCCAGGTAAAGTCAGTGAGACTGCTGACCTAATACATTTATACAATTACTTACTATTTTGTGGAATAAATGCTTGCATTGTCCACTTGTGTCCATTGTATAATGGAGACTGAAATATCAGCCAAGCAAACATCAAAACATTAGAATTATGACCCAAGAGTATGAATGGATGGAAATGTGTATTAAAACTATAGAGTCCATGTTCTTCAGGTGGGAAGTTCTTGTTCTGTTTGGTCCCTACAGCAATGGGATCCTGTAAATGCCTGGAGCTCCAAGGAACAGCTGGTGACATATCAAATTAACCAAACTTTGCTGAGATATTGATGCATTGAGGCATGAGGCTGTGCTTCTGCAAAGGTGTACACACACCTCCACAGGGAGTGCTACCTAACAGCCAGACCTCACAGGCCCTTACATCAGAAATTTAGGATAGTGTTATAAAGCCAAGTAATTTATTCCAGTGATTCAAATCCCAGTCAATCGAAGCACACAGATGAGCCTTTGCATAAATGGGACAAGCACTAAGCACCCTGAAAGTCAGGACGGGTGTTTTTTTTAATTTGCTGCTGGGTGCTTAGTTAGGGAAAGGTCATGATTTGTGACTTACTTTCATCTGAACACAGAGATGGCATCAGGATTAAATGAAGAACTATTTTGTTATTCTGTCTTTCTCACTGCAACCCTGAAAAAAAGATTGAATTTTTGTACTGAAATGAAGATAAAAGTGCTTTGAAGAGAGGCTGAAAGGTCCTCTGTTCATCGCAATGTCTTTTAAAACATTTTTTTTTATTTCTTGAGGAACCACTGAGACATCTGAACAGCTTCAAAACTGCAGCAGAGTTCTCTGGATCGCGTCCCTTCAGCTGCCATTTAAAGTAACCAAGTCTGAAAAGCGTTAAGGTTATTGCAGAGTCAGAATTTTCTAAGAAAGAAAAATAGCTGTAAGTGGGGTGCAATTCCAGTACAAACTGAATGGAGGTGTGTGACAGAGAATTAGGGAAATACCTAAGTCAGTTACTGCCCACTTTTAAGCGGGGTCATGCATACAGCCACTGATCTACCTGCCCAGTACTCAACTTCCAAACAAGTGTTGGAAAATTGAAAAGAATTCCAAAATGAGCCTCATGAGTGACATCAGCTCTGGGAAAATAATACAGCATGCAGTTCTCAAGGCTCAGTCTATTTTTTTTTTTTGTACACGAGATATTAAGGACTTGAGCACGGCACAGCAGTATTGCCGTGCTGCTCCTCTCAAAATCTATGTAAGCAAGACAACCATAACCTCTGAATCTGTTCAACCTTTCATTCTGGAAAAAAAAATAGGAGTATCTAGCAAAATGCATCACATGCTGAGCTTCATTTAACTACTCACAAAGCTCTGTTTAACCACTCACAAACAGAAACTTTTGGGAAGTGCTTGTAAAATGGGTGAGTCTGAAGAAAATACCTCTTCAGCTAAACTGACGTTCTCAAATTAATTCCCATGCCTGCAGCACAACACTTACCTCAGGCCCCCTGCACCTCACCATCACCCTTTTTTCTCTCTCCCATTTACACCATAGTGTAAGACACAATTTTTCTCCTAACCGCTGGAAGACAAAGGGTTTCCTTTACAGCCATTCCCTTTTACCTGCTTCTCGAGAAAATCTGAATTGCTACTCTGGTGCTAGTGCTGACGCTTGCTGCTCAGGGTCTGACTCTACAGACGACTTTAAGACAGAGAGGGTCACTCTCCCGAGCGGTAGCTAGGCCCACTGCTGATTCGATGTGTCACCCACTTGTCACGACACTCGGTACAAACCACAGCAATGATGCAAGGATGCACTCGGAGCTGCGCAGCTTGACGGTACAGAACAAGCTTTTGAAATCAGAGTTGCTTCCCAAACTGGCTGCTAAACCCTGCCTCCAGCAAGCTCCACTCCCTTCCACCCCACCCATGAGCAAGCCACAGAGTGTATGAAACCTGCCCAGGTAAGAGAATGTTTTGTTTGTTTAACCTGTAACTAGATAGGAAAAAAAGTTTTAAAAGCCCACCAGCACCCCCTGCCAAAACCTTCTTCCTCTTCAGAGTGATCTACAGCAGACTGATGAAGAGCAGCAGATGGTCGAAGGGCTGAGGCTCCATCCTGGGCAGGGGAAGGTGCCTGGGAGGGACAGGCAGGCTCCAAGGCAGGAATGAGCAGGGAGCAAGCCTCTTTCAAAGGAGAAAGGGTTGTGCCAAAAGGTAGCTCGGAGCCAACACGCCCAAACTTTTCACACAACATTTCATCATTAAGGGCTAGGGTGACTTTGAGAACAGATTCTGAAAAATAAACCACCTTTTGATTTTAAATAGGTTGAATTACATCAATTCATAACAAATGAGAAGCACTAGTTTGCTTCTCTTGGGGGAACATGCTGTTTCCAGGGGAAAATGTAGCAGAAACAGGTTTATTGGTGCCAAAGAGCAGAGCCAAAGAGGAGCTGGAACATTGCTGCTGTCAGAAGTGGCTTTATTATGAAAAGAACCCAGAACTCGATATGCAGCTACCACAGAAGTCTTTCTGAAACTCTGGCCCAGTGTAGGTAGCAAAACAGAGATGGAGTTTCTCAAGCTACATCCAGACCACCTAAACTGTAAATGTGGCACCCATAGGCAGAACTGAGGTGTCTAAGTATCCAGTGTGATTGAGATTGACTGTTCTCGGGTGCTATCGCTTAAAAACCCGGAAATTCAGTAAGTCGTTTACTTAGGGCAGCAGTATTTCCAAGGCACCCATGCATAGGCTTTCAATGTAAGCATTAACTATAAGTACTTTGGCGAATAAAGCTGGAATCCAACTTCACAGTGAAAAGCTTTCCCATAATTCAAGGATATTCAGTGAGACAAACTCCATCCAACCTTTGGAGAGGCCCGCTATAGAAGACATATTCTCACCTAACTCACCTGGGATGCACTGAGCTCAACATAAGGCTCACCAGTTAAGGTAGCTGTCTTCCAAAACACTGAGGGAAGAGGCCATGTAGAAGGACAAATGCATATTTAAATAACTGGAAAGCATTAAAACTGGCATAAGTGACACTTGGTACCACTTACAGCTCTGGTTCCCTTGAGAGCAGGGTGAGAGATAGGAAGAAACACAGAGGAAAGCAGCATTTTGAAATAAGGAAGCAGATATAATAAAGAGGCACTGTGAACCCTGCAGTGAGAGTCTTTCAGAAAACATACTGAAAGCTATTCCCTAGTAAATAGCTTAATAACTATTATTGTTATCATAATATAGCTGGAGTGAAATTAAGGATTAGATATGGACATTTTGTAAAATTCCTCACCCTTTTGATTTAAACTGCACTATTCAACTCCACAGCACAGAATTTTCTGAATGGCAATGTCACGATTTGCTACAACATCACAGGCAAAGCTTATAAATAATTTAGGAAAATATTCACTTGGCTGGGGAATACCACTTAGCCCCTGTTTGCAAGGCATAAGTGAGCTTTCCCGAGTACACAGGACTTGAGCTGCTTCTCTCTGAATAAATAATCCCCTCCCATCGCACAGATATACGCACATCCCCTCCCAAATTAATGTTCTTACCTTATCTCTATTTTCAGAGCCAGAATCCTCAAGTTTGGTCCGAATGATAAAGGGAGTAGATAATCTCAGGAGAACTCGTTCAAATGTGGCACTGATTTTAGGAGAAACTATGTCGAAGCAGTCTTCGAATTTCAGAGTTTTATGAGCGTCACATCTGAGCTGCTTCCTAAGACCTTCTCCAAGCTGCAGAACCACCATGTTTGGATCAAACATCAGGTGAAAGGGGAAAGCTCTGCAGAAGGTGCTGATGCTAATCCTCAGGTCTAAGGGGGACTGGGAAGTTCCCGGTGGAAGTGCTTTTGTGATATTTGCATTTTCATGTTCCTTGATAAGGAAAGTCAGACAGCTGCAGTTACCTGGGTTTGTCCCCTCTGAACACAGCTTATCATTAGTGACCTGTTCTACTTCCACTTCCAAGCGGTAAATCTTCTTTGCTGCTGCCTTTATCATTCCCATCATTGCTAATCCCACAATCTGATGTGGGTGAAAGTAATGAAGCATGAGATTGCCTCCAGGGAGCTCTTTGCATAGGAAAGAAGGGGATTCCAGGGTGGCCTGTCTTCCAAATGAAGTTCTAATGTGCTCCAGCAAAGCATCAAAGCCATTGAAGAAGTCTTGAAGGGTCCCGCCTACAGCTCGAAGAACTCTTTCATTCTCATCAAAGCAGACATTGAAGAATTCCTCCCCGAACTTTTCTTGCATTTCCTCAAACTTCAAACCTAAAGGACAATGAGACACTGATATCACCAACACAGTATTGCTACCGTGTCGCATCTTCCCTTTGTTCTCTATTTGCCCGGTATTTTTCCCAGTCAGTGAGAGTGCCTTTTCCAATGGATACCCACCCACGGGACTTCTGGTTTTTCTGGTGGTTGGGAATAGCCCTAGAAGCCATTTTTGCTTGTCATTTTAAGTCCTTGTGCTTTCAGCTTGCTGTCCCGGCCAGCTACTTGCGGGATTTACACTTGCCTGTCTCCTCTTCCCTGCTGGAAGTCAGAACACGTTACAATTTCCCTGACTTTGGCACGACATGTGCAGTCCGCTGTGTGAATGCACCCGGCCATGGGTGCGTCCCTTGCGCTGCTGACCTCAGCGCGACCGAGGTCTCTGCTCCTACAGCCAGGGATCCAGCTCTTACCAGCTTGAAGAATAAGCTGTGGGGCTCAAAGTCAGGCCTTTGGCTTTCAATAAGCAATGTAAAGCCCTGAAGTCAGGTGACACTTTAGTAGCTGGGGGAGGGGGCTGTGGGTTTGGGGATTTTTTTCAGACAAAATACTTTTCTCATTATAGCTATTGAGCACTGCCAGAAGATACAAAGGAATAATTATTTCTTTTTTGTTGCCTGCAAAAGAGAGCAAAGCCTTTCTATTTTAGGCTTCTACACTCACCCACCTTAAAAAAAAAACAAACCAAACAAAACCCCTGCCTCTTAGAGCGATCTAAACTCCTAGTAGATGGGACAGCTCGGTGATATCTCACAACGTCACTTCAAGTCTCCATCACAGAAATTCAAAAGGTTTTGATTTACAGAGGTGATAAGGCTGGTGTTGCTGAAGGGACGAAAAAATATCAGTGATGGAAGGCCCTGGATACAAATGTCTATCAAATCCTACTCCAGATTGCTATTTACCATCTTAAGGATAACCTAGAAAAAATAATTCTGAGATGGTTATTAAATATTTTCCTCTGTCTTATTTTAGGGAAGATATGTTCTGTTAAATCTCATCTGTATATAATCCCTATATCACATGGTAGAGTTACAAAATTTATTAGACCCGTTTCTGTTGTTCCAAGCTGTAATAGAAGAAAAAGAAGTATGAATCAGCTGTATGTGAATTACAAATACCCAGCAAGAGTTTTCAAAGGAAATTAATATAGGAATTAACAACTTACTTCCTCCAGTGTATTGAAATATATCAAATTTCAGTGAAAGAGTCAAACACCTTAAAATTTATCTTGAATTCTAACAGAAATGAAAGGCAGTCACTTATTTCCTAAGGGCACTACAGGCTCTTTATTTTAATACGTATTCAGCATGCTTTATAACATTGATAAGATCCCAGTGGACCACCAAACTTCTCACTGTTTGTTTAGATTTCTCGTAGGCCTTTAAATTTGGAAGAACAGTGTGATTAGTGACTTCCATGCCCAGGAGGTATAACAGCGGACAGAGGAAGTCGTTCGGCTGCTGTTTGCAGACAATAACCTTTGATCACCTCAAGGCAGTGTCTGAACTGCCTATGCACATGGGTACAGCTCTAACAATCAATATTCACACGGGATCTGAGCGTTCCACAGCTTTGCAAACTATCTGCAACAATAGTTTTGCCTGGAGCTTCAATACGGTTAATAGATTAAAATGCATAAAATTACATAGATAAACAGGACAACATGACAACATGACCAAGCATATTTTATGAAAGAAGTAATAGTAATAATTTGGGAAAGTTCATTCAAATGCCATTACTCATAATCAAATTTGGTCACTAAACTGGGTTATTACAAAAATATTCCCAGGATCTTTTATGACCACAGATGGTCAGATCTGCGGCTAAGCCAAAAGAAAGTACCTCTGGTACACAATGCCCCCTAATATCCTGACTCAGAGGACAGCGTGCCAATTCCTGACTCATTACCGCTATGGCTGCATAACACAGTATTGCAGTATCATCCATAAAAATACTCGCTATAACCCCAAAAGAATTAAATTCTAACCCATACCAATAACATTGTCATAATTGGATATTAATAGCAAGGAGCTAAGAAATTATCAGAGTTTATGTATATGCAAACACACATGCATACTTTCAAGTCTCATTGCTCAGTAAAGTGAACTGCAAATAGCTTTAGAAGTCTGTGCATAAAAGCGAGCAGTCTAGCAGGGGCACCCACGGCTATAAGACTGCAGGGGGCCTGGAAGTGTGCAAACAGGACAGCATCAGAAACCCCTGGGCTAGTTGTACAAATGACCAAATACTGTTACAGAACCACGTAACATAGAATCATAGAATCATAGAATCATTTAGGTTGGAAAAGACCTTGAAGATCATCAAGTCCAATCGTTACCCTAACCCTGCCATCCCACCACTAAACCATGTCCCCAAGCACCTCATCTACCCATCTTTTAAATACCTC